ACTCAGTGTCTAAACTACAGATTGGAATCGCAGACATATTTCCCTGTTATGCAATTTATGAAGCTTCAATATCATCATTGATATATTCACTGCAAATTAATAATACATCCAGGTAAAAACAGATTTTAAAACTATGATGTTTTGAGCTGCAAATGTCTGATATTTGTGTACCTAAATCTAATTTTAAATAAGGACAGAATGGCAAAATAAACAAAGGTTAAAGTCCTAGTGAATGTGGTATAATAACACAATATTCAACTTGCTGTAAACCTTCAAGTAATTATACTGAATCTCAGCTACAATTAAAGATACTTTGGTGGAAAATGTTGAGAAACTTTAAAAACTGGCAATATGAATAATGTTCCCTTTTTCTATGATGATTTGAAAAATGATTATACTCAGAGATTTTAAAATTTAATTTTACATATTACTAGTATGGAGTAATCTACTAATATGATATAACCCATCACTTACATTAGGTAGTGTCAGTAATTTTCTGGAAGAACAGGAAGTACAAGTCAATGCTATGGAACAATAAGTACAGCAGTCATCAGGTGCTGCTTAAACACCAAGATCATTCTGTGCCCTTAATTTCAAACAGGTGTTATTATTTTTATAAACGGGAAAATACACCCATAGAGTTTTAGGTAATTTTCACCACTTATTTAGTAGTAGAATTGGCATCCAAATTCATATACTTTTTAAAAAACATTTATTTATTTATTTGAAAGGTGGCGTTATACAGAAGCAGAGAGAGAGAAAGAGAGAGAGAGACAGAGACAGAAACAGAGACAGAGACAGAGAAAGTCTTCCATCCGCTGGTTCACTCCCCAGATGGCCGCAACAGCCGGAGCTGGGCAGATCCGAAGCCAGGAGCTTCTTCCAGGTTTCCCATGCGGGTGCAGGGTTCCCAAGGACCTGGGCCATCTTCTACTGCTTTCCCAGGCCATACCAGAGAGCTGGAACGGAAGAAGAGAGCTGACTTGAACCAGAGCCCATATGGGATGCTGGCACTGCAGGCAGCATCTTCACCCACTATGCCACAATACCAGCCCCTATACTTTTTAATTATCAGAAGATGTTTGCTCACATATATCAGTTTGCTATGGAAAGAACTAAAGTTAATTTCATGTAGTTGAATACCAACCCTCCCTATCTTTTCAGTCAAAATTTCCACTGGCACTTCACTAGCAATACTTACAGGTATTTTAATGTGAACAAGCATAGAATACTTGTTTTTTACTTGTTGGCCTCTTTCCCCGCTGTTGAAATTTTATTTCTCCCAGTTTAACCGTCCATTTATATTTCTCCAGTACTTTTCCATAGTTTCTGGTAACCCTCAAGGAAACAACTCACAGAAGACCCTGAGAATCAGCAACATGTAGAATTTCATTTTTTATTTCAGATTCATTTTATAAGGAAAAAACAAAGACTACCCAATTGAAATTGACTAAGATGATGATAGTCACTGAATTATGTTTCAACATTTTTGTTATTAGAAATAATTGAACAGAGATTAGCATCTGATTTTCCTTTAACTACTAATGTATGCTTGCATTTATACAGATGAAAGGACAAACTTATAAATCTATGTCATGTTTCAAATTACTATATTATGCTGTGTGTGCCCTCCCTCCAGGTAATTCTCCTCACCATCTTTTGTCAGTGGAATAAGGTTGTAAAATTAAAATAGGGTTCTTAAGAGAAGTACTATCACTTAACAATAGACATACATTATGATCTTTTGTCTGAAATTTAATATTTTGTACAGCAAATACACATAGAGTTCACATATTCCACATGAGTTCACAGAGAATGGAGCTTTTAGGGAGAAAATAGAGGGTACTTTATTGCACTATTTCTCATCTTACTGGATAGAAAAATCCCATATTTGCTTCTCATTTTAGACGCTTCTCTATTATTACATTTTTCAAAATAAAAGTGAGTCAGTATATCATGAGATACATTTTAATGCCTTGTATGTGGTAATTTATCATTTTTATCATTTTATTATGAATATTTAGTCACAGGCTAGAAAATGTTTGAAAAATGCAGACCGCTGCTGTGTGTATGTCTGTAAGACTTACAAAACACTTTATAAAGTAATTTCATTATTTTCATGTGTAAATATTTTGGTGACTTTTTCTTGGCATAATATTAATTGTGAAAATTGATATTCAGTAACTGTCAGGTGTGAACAATGACAGAGTGAATGTTATATGTTGCCTGATATCAGGTCCCCAAGTAAAATATAGATGCTGGAGTTAAAAAATTCACAGTCCTTTTTTCTAGCTTTTTATTTTTTAAGAATATACAATATAGCACCATTATCTATAGGAATTCTCCTGTGCAATAGAACACCAGAGCTTCTTACTACTATCATATTATAAAGTAGTATCTGATAATCAACGTTTCCATTTCTCTTCTCCCCACTATTGTCCCCAGATGAAATGTAGAAAAAAGGATTTTTTTTAAAGATTTATTTTATTTATTTGAAAGACAGAGTTAGAGAGAGAGGTAGAGACAGAGAGAGAGGTTTTCCATATGCTGGTTCACTCCCCAGATGGCTGCAATGGCAGGAGCTGTGCTGATCCAAAGCCAGGAGCAAGGAGCTTCTTCCAGGTCTCCCACACAGGTGCAGGGGTCCAAGGACTTGGGCCATCTTGTACTGCTTTCCCAGGCCATAGCAGAAAGCTGGTTCGTAAGAGGAGCAACCAGGACTAGAACCGGCACCCATAAGGGATGCCGGAGCATCAGGCCAGGGCTTTAACCCGCTGCACCACAACGCCAGTCCCAGAAAGGAGTTTGAATGTTTTCACCATAAGGAAATGATAAATGTTTGAGGTGATAGGTATGTTTACCTTGACTTTAACATTTCACATATATACATGTATCAAAATATGCATGGAACCCCATAAACATGTCCAACTTTTATGTATCAGGTGAAAATAAATATAAAAACAAAGGACATACACATACACACACAAATTAGAATATCGATGCATTTTCTTTACAACTTAGTGGATCTGTGCCCAAGGAAGGTCAAGAGATTCTGAGTACTTAGATTCCTTATCTTTAAGAACATAAGCACATTATCAATAGGACCACAGGGAGGATTAGAATTGAGAGAGAGTACGTAACACAGTGCCTGCTGGATGACAGGTGTTTTACTTTCCACAGAAATTTTTTTGCACTGTCTTGAGAAAGGTGGTGTATAATTAAAACAATTAGTTATTTGATGATATATAACATAACATTCATAAGGGAAGATTTGGAAGGACTCACCAGAGGAACAGATGTACCTTCAGTCTGACTTTTTGATTATCCAAATTCTCTGTAAGTATTGTATGTGCATTTACTGCTCAGGGAGATAAAAAGGCAGAATATCCTCCTATCCAAACTATGGCAGGCTTTAAAGCAATCAAAATTACTTATAATGTGTATAGGAAATAATTGAAATAAATGAGGAAACATTGTCATTACTTGTTTAAATTATGCTTAATTATGGAATGGATGATTTTTAATTGATTGATCATTTCACATTTTGATAGATTTTAATAACAGGCTTGACAGTAAAGGTAGAGAGAAGTGGTGGATTTTACTACTTACAGAAAATATTATCTTTTGAGTAATATAAAATGTAAGCTTGATATATTAATTTAATTTTTATGTACTTCCAACCTTCACAAAATGAATATTCAGAGGCTGATGGATTTGATAGTAATTCAATCTAAATAAATGATTTATGAAGAGAATGAAATTGAGTAGATCAGATTACCTGGATAAATGATATCCAAGCATCATAATGTATAGATTAGCAAAATTTTGTATCAGACATCCAGCATCCAAATCCAGGTATTCTTAGAGCAAGAATGGAATTTGATACATCATGTGGCCTGGATTGCTGATTTTAGCAATGGATCACTAAAACTTGAGTCAAAGTTCATCCTGGCTTTATAGGTCCAAAAACATAGATCCACTACGATGACTTCCCATTATCCAGCATAGAAACATCTTCACCCTTTATTTTAGAAAGTAATTTTTAGTCTTCCTACTTCCCCTTGCCAGCCCTCACTGTGTGAAAAAGGAAAGATGGCACTCTCACTTATCAGAGTCAATTATCTGTAGACTTTATATGGCAGCTTTTAAATTTTTGTGTATGTTATTTTATTCTGTGCTCTCAGCAATCTTATGAGACAGGTGTTGTTTTCCATGTTCTTCTCTGCAGAAAAGGAAGTGATGGTTAAGTATCTTTCTTACGTTTACACAGTGGTGAAGTTCAGATTCAATGTCAGGTTTATTTCAAATATCATGTTGCTTCTTTTTAAGAATAATTTATTTATTTATTTGAAAGAGTTACAGAAAGAGAGATGGAGAGACAGAGAGAGCAATATTCCATCTGCTAGTTCACTCCTCAAATGGCAGCATCAGCTGGTGCTGGGCCAGGCTGAAGCCAGGAGCTTCTTCTTGTTCTCCCACAATGGTGCAGGGACCCAAACACTTGGACTACCTTCTGCATTCCCAGGTGCATTAGCAGGGAGCTGTTTTGGAAGTGGAGCACCTGGGACAAGAACTGGTGCCCACATGGGGTGCCAGCATCTCAGGCTGCAACTTTACTTGCTGGGGCACCACACTGCCCCACATTGCTTCTTGAATGATGGAAAAAGATTACATACTTTCTTTGCTTGTCTACATAGGGATATACATATATTCTGAAATACTTCTATATCATTTTTTCTTTTGACATATAGATAATAAACAGTTAATAATGATATAATATAATACCCTTCAAATAGGAACTATGTCAGCTTTTTGCACTTTTCATTGAATATGTATCAAAGCTTTCAAGCTACAGGAAAACTGTTAACCTATTTTATTATTCATTCTGCTTGGATTAACAATCAAAACATAAATGAGAGCTCAAGGAATTTATTAGGTCAAATTGGCTTTACGTGTGCTTCCACTATGCATCATTTCAAGGGTTCTTTTTATTCTTGTAGGAATGACTTGTCAAGCTCGAACATCATACACCGAAGATGAAGTTCTCTGGGGTCATCGTTTTTTTCCTGTGATTTCTTTGGAAGAGGGATTCTTTAAAGTTGACTACTCCCAGTTCCATGCAACATTTGAAGTCCCCACACCACCATACAGTGTGAAAGAACAGGAGGAAATGCTTCTCATGTCGTCACCTTTAATAGCACCAGCCATAACCAACAGCAAAGAAAGACATAATTCTGTGGACTGCTTAGATGGATTAGATGACATTACTACAAAACTTCCATCTAAGCTACAGAAAATTACCGGAAGAGAAGACTTTCCCAAAAAACTCTTGAGGATGAGTTCTACAACTTCAGAAAAAGCTTACAGCTTGGGAGATTTGCCTATGAAACTTCAACGAATAAGTTCAGTTCCTGGCAACTCAGAAGAGAAACTGGTATCTAAAACCACCAAGATTTTATCTGATCCTATGAGCCAGTCTGTGGCTGATTTGCCACCAAAGCTTCAAAAGATGGCTGGAGGAACCGCTAGAATGGAAGGGAATCTTCCAGCCAAATTAAGAAAAATGAACTCTGATCGCTTCACATAACAATACACATACTTAGGCATTATTTAATATTTGATTTAGTTGTAGTCCAATATTTGGCTGATGAGGTTATTCCTCCCTAAGGAACCTGAAAATTATACCACCCCCCAGTCCTGTAACCATATTTGAGAACCCCTCCTTTCCAAGTATTGCTACTGTACAGAAAGCAGAAGTTATGAAAGGGGTACATCAAAAGAGAGTCATTAATGGGCATGTATTATCACATCAAGCATGCAATAATGTGCAAATTTTGCATTTAGTTTTATGGCATGATTTATATATGGCATATTTATATTGTATATTCTGGAAAATATATATATATATTTAAAGGGGAGATACTCTCCCCAACATTTCTAACATATGTATTAAGTCAAACATGAGTGGGTAGTTTTCAGGGCGATAAAATTACACACACACACACACACACACACATATATATATATGTATATATAAATGTATACACACATATACATATATATATATATATACACAGACATACACATTCAGACATACATATATATCAGATAAAATTGTGATGTTTTGTTCACAGTTGTAGTTCTTGTGCATGTTTACTTTATTATACTAGGAAGGCTACTGACATTAATTATTAATACCAAATACTTTAGCCTTAAATTATTTGTCATTTTAAAATCTGATTTAGTGTTTTCTGCTGTTTAAGGTCCTGGAAGGTTTTGAATTGTACTTTATACATGAGAAAGTCACGCAAGTTTATGCTATTTATGGCCCTGCAAAAACATAACCATTACATGTTTAACTTGTAAATTTTAGAGCATACCAGTACATGGTATATCACTGAAAAATTCTTATGATTTTTAAAAGTTACTAGGGCTGGGGGAAATAAATGTTAATTAATTGGAGAACTGTTCCTTTCCTGGTCTAATTAAAAATCATATACAAATATGAGTCTTGAACAAATGCTGAATCGTTGTACCAGTCAGTAGCCAAGTTACATTGGATATATCAGAATCTGTGTGAAATAACGTAATTAATGGTCCCCATTTCAAATGAAGTCAATAGGAAATACTTCCATTCCTTTTCTGGAACTTTTGTCCATTTTAGAAACCAGTGCTCTATCTTTAAGGAGACACAACAATGCAATGAAACAGATGGTATTTATGCCTAAAAGATGTATGTCTAATTGAGTCTCTTTTATGCTGTTCTCTTGTTTATGGACTTTGTTGTAACAAAATAGGCTTTTTTCCTCACCTGGGGAAGCTATCCCATGCCTGTCACTCAGAGCTCAAGAGGAAAGTTTTGTATAGACCAGAGAGAAATTCAAATTAGGTAAACTGCAATTATCTTACACACAAATTTATTATTTATTTATTTATTTATTTGTGAACACTGATTGTATGGGTACTTGGGGTCCTTGGACTCTCCAAATAATTTTAGCAGTACTGTTTTTCTAACCCCTACATCTAATATTTATGACTCACTTGTGAGAATCAAAACTATTGATCAGTAGAACACCTCCAAAGTAAAGATTTAGAATGCAAAGATTTTTATGAATATTTAGAAGTGCTTTTTATCAGAAAACCATAGGTTTCCTATAAAATTTCTTTGGGCATTGCAACCTCTGTCTGCCTAAAATTAATCCTCTTCTCATTAATATGTAAATTGTTAATGGCTGATTTGGGCTCCCTCCATTTCCTAGTTTGTAGTAATCCTCTAATGATTTTATTATTGGCAAATGATTACATCAACAGTTCTATCATTGACTATAATACCTTCTGGCTACCTCTGTATCAACCAAATTCCGTAGGTGCAAAACATATACCAGGGAATTGTTACTGGCAAAATGATCAACCTTGAGCCTCTGTCCACTGTGAATAGAGTGGTTGCCCCACCCCTTGATCACTAAACTTTCTTATTTGCTGGATGTAGGAAAAGAAATAGTAACAAAGAGAGAAGGGGGTCCAGAGGGCATGACATATATAGCAGCAGTGGAAGGAACTGCATGGATCATTTAGTCCAACTACTTAAAAACTAAATAGAGCCATAACTTACTTTGGAGAGTTGTTTTAATTTGTCTTTGGTACCAAGGAGAAAATGGAACCAAAAACAAACTCTCTGAATGTATTCATTCATTCAATAAAATTTTTGCATGCCTTCAATGTCCTAGGCGTTTTTTAGTTCTTGGAGATTGGGGCACAACTAAGTGGGAGGAGGACACTGTTCACCGAGAACACCTGTACCCTGTAGGATAATGGGGAAGAAACAGACAAAAATTACATAAAACAATTTCAGATCATCAAAATATCAATTAACAGAATGAAAATAAGGTATTGTATTGGAAAACCACTGTATTAATTGATTATTTTAGAAGTGGCAGCTGGCATAGGGAGATGGTAATATTTGAACTGAGACTTCAATGATGAAAAAGAGCTACTATTGCCAAAATTAATTTATCTGAGTGAATGGTATCCTTTTATCTTTTTCACATATTTGTGGGAAAGGTGTGATTTCTGCATGTAATTGCAGTTTAACCCCTATTTCTAGATTGATCAATTTACCCAGGAAAATTCCAGTTCATACTTGTTTACCTGTGTAGTTATTAATAGTGCTCCTTTTCATTCTTATCATGTCCTGGTTTGGATGATATATGGTGAAGTTTTTGTTGAAAATAACTAAACTATGAAGTCTGATATATTTGGATAAAAATAAAAAAATTGCTTTTCTTCTTTTGTTGATTTTTGACACTGATCATTTCAAGCAAAAATCATCTCAGTTTCATATATTTGAACCGAAGGACTTCTTATTAACGTGATTTCATGTGACATTTGTTCAATCTGTACATGACGTGTCTCTCAGAAATGAAGAGTTGTGCATCTTCTTGAACGAATTAAAAAGTCAACAAATTTTTACATTTCAGGAAGTTTTAAGAGCTCAAAATCTAAGGCAGTAAAAGCCAATTTAAGCCAGAGCAATTTTCAACCCACCAATGTGGTGGCTATTGTAAAGGAAAACACAATGTGACATTGAACTGAATAACTATAGTTAATTGGAAATGAGTCTTTTTATAATATTTTCATAATATAGTTCCTTATAGTTCATTTTATAGTAAACTATTTTCTTCTATTTATTAAAGTATTGTAAATAAAAGAAATAGAGTTATTTTAATAGTGTTTATCATCGATTTAAATATTTTGCTTTTCAGCAATATGTGAATACACTTTTGTAAATAGATACCAAATGAAAAATAAGAGTATTGTATCATTAATTATTTATGAAAAGATCTTCTTAGGCTGTTTGAGATTCTTCCTCACATGATATGAAAAGTATTCAGTTGTCTTAGAACTCAAGAACCCTTTTGTCTGCAAAGGAAAGAGTCATAACACATAATTTCTAATGGAAGTAGACTGAGATGGTGGGAAAGCTGAATTACAAGTTATTTTTAATATGAAAATCTCTGCCATTTCTTACTATGAAGAGGGTTCAGTTGACTGCATGCCATGTCTCTGAGCTCTACTCCAGAATTTATGCTTGAATTACGTTGTGCATATTCAAATTGATAGCAAACTAATTGCATTTTCTGGCATGCAGTCTATAATTATTTAAATGTACAGGATCATTGCATTACAAAAATATAAACTCAACACTGCAAGTTCAGTTTTAGAAAAACTATATTAAACTTCTGAAACATGATTGGGTTTCATTTTTACAGTGTACTTATCATTTTCCACTCTCCACCAGTTACCTACTCACATTCTTGATTCAGCTTGTTTATCAACGACTCAATTCCTGAAAGGCAGTAGTTCAATCCAGCACAAGCCATTCTTTGAAAAGTACTTTTAGTTTGGCTGCTTCAATAATGCAGTTTTTCGTCCATAAAAACCCTGTGCTTCTTGGAGGAATCCTCATGGCCATCTTAGCTTTTGCTGAACCAATGTTTTAAAAGGCACAGTAAGGTGGACAAAGAGTTTTCCTAATTGTGTTTAAACATAGAGTCACCTTTTCATAAAATGTTCAGTTGCCTCACCTGAAAATATTTTATAGACAAAAAATCATCCCTAATTTCAGTTAAGTTCAGTTATATGCTCTATTCCTAGACATCTCACAAAATTAATTTAAAAGCTAAATTATTGCAGCTTGTGACAGTGGGATTCAAAAAGGATGACCCAAAAACTTAAGAGAATACTTTATTTTTTTCCCAAAAAAAACAAGATTTTTTAATCTGTAAAATTTTCTTGAAATTTTGGCCATTTCAGAATGTCTGGGCTGTTTGTGAGCAAAGGGTGCTATGGAGAAGAATGTAGCAAGAGACACCGTATCTTCATTCTTACTAAGACTCACATCTGTACTTGTGTTTATCCTTTCACAGCTCCAAATGTGTCTCTCACTTGTGTGGTGACTTGCATTTATTATTTGAATCCTTGGAACAACTCTGTGTGTTAGAGATTATCACCATTTTGCATTTGAAGAAACTGATTCTCAGAGAGGGTGTTTAGTGGTTCTTAAAATTAAATCCACAAACTCAAGTTGCAGTTTTTACCCCCTGGGAGCATGAAGTGTATGTGGAATCCTTTATTTGATGACTGTATGTCTCAGACAATTTGGATGCGTGAGCATATCTATTCAATGACTGTGTGCGATGATTTCAAACCTGCAGGATGCCTTCCACAGTGGGGTCTGCATGTTTGCTTGCTGTGATTTAAGACATGGTGGATGGTAGGTAACAGGAACATAAGGAGAAAATGTGGTCAAGATTGTGTGCTGGAATGAAAAAAAAAAAAAAACACTAAATAAACATGAATGAAATTTGAAGGAATTTGGAAACTTCAAGTGATGGGGACCAGCGCAGTGAAGAAGCAGGTTAATCCTCCACCTGCAGTGTCCGCATCCCATATGGGCGCCGGTTTGAGTCCCGGCTATTCCACTTCCAATTCAGCTCCTTGCTAATGGCCTGGGAAAGCAGCAGAAGATGGTGCCAGTGCTTGGGCCCTTGCAACCCTGTGGGAAACCTGGAAGAAGTTTCTTGCTTTGACTTGGCCCAGCTCCAGCCGTTGCAGCCCTTTGGGGAATGAACCAGTGGATGGAAAACCTCTCTCTGTCTCTCCCTTTCTCTGTATGTAACTGTCTCTCAAATAAATGAGTACATCTTTTAAAAAAGCAAAATGCATGCATGGCAAAAAAAAAAAAAAAAAAAGCCCTAAAGCCAAAGCCCAAGCTAACAAATTGGGGGTCCACTGGATTCTTTAAGAAATAATTGTAAAATATTTCAAATAAAACGTTGCTTCATATCCATGTACCTCAGACTTGCAGGTTAAAACACTGAAAAAGGAACATTTTGCTACATTGGCTTCATGTATTTTTAAAGAAACAAAGTATGCTATAAATAGCTAAGACAGCCACCTATTTTCTTCCAAGCCCTAGGTTATTCTATTTCTCTCCTTCCCTCATCGCCATGCACCACTATCTGGAAATATGTATGTATGCTTCCCATAATTCTGTGTGTACGTGTGTGAATGTGTAAAGATAAATGAATCTACACACTCTAAATACATTTAAATATGTTTATATATATATATATTTCTTATACATCTATAGAAATATGTTTATATAAATTATTTTATTTCTGTACTTAATGCAAGTATAAATGGATCATACATGCACACTCCTAACCATAGCTTTTATCTGAGTTTTTATAATTTCTCTTATATTCTGTGTTCTGTATATTTGTTCAATTTCTATTTTTGATACTTTTAAAAATTTAAGCCTGTTAAGGGTCAGCATTGTGGCCTAACAGGGAAGCTTATACCTTAGATGCCACCATCTTTTATGGGTGCTGGTTTGAGTCCTGCCTGCTCCAAATCCAATCCAGATTCCTGCTAATGTGCCTGGGAAAGCAGTGGAGGATGACCCAAGTGCTTAGGCCTCTGCACCCAAACTGAAACCACTGTGGCCATTGGAGCATGTACCAGTGGATGGAAGAGATGTCTCTCTCTCTTTTTCTCTCTCTTTATAACTATGCCTTTCAAATAAATAAATAAAATTTTTAAAAAGATCTAAGCTTGACATAATGAAATGTAAACTTAACATCTCTACTCTCCTTTCAAGCAACAAAAGCATCTAAGAGCGTGTTAAATCTCACCATGTTTTCTGTGGTGTTTTTGTATAGTATAACACTTGCTTTTCATGTTCTAACAAAAAATACTTTTTATTTTAAGTGAATGTATTTTATTTATTTACTGATGTCTGTTCAGCTTTATGTGTTTTGCCTCTCATTCTATACATTTCTCAATTAAGTATATTGTTTAATATTTCTTTTTAAAAATATTTATTTATTTAAAAGAAAGTTACAGAGGGGAAGAGAGAGAGAGAGAAAGAGAGAGAGATTGAGAGAGGTCTTCCATCTGCTGCTTTATTTATTTATAAGTCAGAATTAGAGAGGCCAGGCTGGGCCAGGTCCAAGCCAGGAGCCTAGAATTCCATCCAGATCTCCTATGTTGTTGTCAGGGGCTCAAGTACTTGAGCCATCTTTGGCTGCTTTCCCAAGCACATTAGCAGGGAGTTGGAGTGGAAGTGGAACAAGTGGGTCTTGAACCTGGGATCATACGGGATTTCAGTGTTGCAGGCTGCTTAGCCAGCTGCATCACAACACTGGTCCTAAACACCCATGATAAAAAATATCTTACTACTTGTTTATCTGGCATATTGCATTGACTTGGATATTCAGTTTAACTTTCATTTCATTAATCAGAAGACAGGAAGCAACATTTTTTGTTGTTGTTTAGTATATCTTCTATCAGATATCCATAGCTGCATGGTGGAGTTAGTTTTAGCTTCTCCCAGAATACCTTCTGCCCTGTCCATAACCCCATACACAGCCAAGTTTCCTTGCCACTGGGCCATATAAGGAGATTGCAGAGGATCCTAAACAGAAACTTCAATTTTGGTTTTGTGTTTCACAAATGTCTAAAACTATATGTTTTCCATCATGAATGGTAAACTCTCTGTCACCTAAATGGAAACTATGCTCAAATTCAAGTCTCTTGAAGATACAAACACACTCATATATATATATATATATATACACACACATAATAAATTACTTTATTTCTGAATGTAAAAATATTGTTCCATATATAGATATATATTCATACGCATCATGCAT